ATAACGCTGTTATGAACATAGTTGAGTACATGTCCTTGTGGTATGGTTATGATTGAGCATCCTTTGGGTATATACCCAAAAGTGGTGTTACTGGGTCTTGAGGCAACCCAATTGAAAATTGAAATAGAAAATTGAAGTTTTCTAATTTTCTGAGAAATTGTCTTACTGATATACAATAGGACTGTACCAATTTGCACTCCACCAGCAATGCAGGAGTGTTCCCTTTACCCCACAGTCTCTCCAGCATAAGTTGTCATCAGTGTTTTTGATCTTGAACATTCTGACAGGTGTAAGACAGACTCTCAGAGTTGTTTTGATTTGCATTTCTCTGATGGCTAAAGATGTTGAACATATTCTAAGTGTCTTTTAGCCATTTTAGATTCATCTGTTGAGAGCTCTCTGTTTAGATCTGTACTCCATTTTTTATTGGATTATTTGTTCTTCTGATGACCAATTTCTTGAGTTCTTTGTATATCTTGGGGATCAGCCCTCTGCCCAAGCACAAGGCATTTTTCTCAAGCACAACAAAAGCTTCGAACGTCAGCTCATTACTAACTGTGCCGACTTGGGAGCAAAGATGCCTGGAAAAGCAGACTCCACAAGTACTTAAAGTACTCCTTTTCAGCCATGACTCTTGAATTCTTCTCCAAGTCATACCTTTACAGGTCCCTATTTTTCCAACTCCGATTTGAAAAGATGTAATCATTTTGACATGATACTTACAGAGTCTTTTGAAAACTTTACTCAAAGCAGAATTTTAATACGTCAATTCGATATCCATGACTCTATTGATTTAATGACATGGGCAGGACCAGAATTGGTGAGCCAGGGGTAAGGGTGAGATGTATTTACGATCTGAGTCAGACAAGCCTTAGAGTCTATGGCGTAGCTCTCAGGCATCTGCTCCGACATTCTCTAAAACACTTTGTCCGTCTGTGCTGCCAGCTGTGGCAACCTCTGTCCATCAGAACCAAGAGTAGATAAATTCTTCATGGAAAAGTCAGCTTTACTCAAGCATAAATAAGGGAAGTCACAAGGCACTGGAAGGCATGGCTGCACATGCTCCAAGAATTTGCCTGGCTGCTACTGATTTTGGTGGAAAACATCACCTCAAGGATTCATCAAGCAAGCTGAGCAACCATTAAAACCAAACTTGGTTTTGCTATAAGACTATCAAATTCCCTTCCTCTTTCTCGTCTTCTCTCCCTCACTCCTCTTTTTTTTTTTTTTTTGATTTGGTTTGGTTTTTTGGCGGGAGGGGAAGCAACTCCAACCCTCACATTATCTTCTCGGTGTTGGCACACTGAACTACTCCACTAAGAGCTGGAATTATTGTAAAACAAATATGCACTTTCAAGAGGATTTTCCAAGTAAAATAAGTCATGGGCTTAGTGGTGGGTGAAATAAGAAATATTTCAGATCTTTTGAAACATTTAAAAATTATTTTTTAAAAAAAGAGTTTTGGAAATAATCATCCACACACTTTTTCCCAAGTACTCTATTCCTTGAGGACCATCGGCACAGGAAGGAAAATTGGATCTCATTTCTTTTCAGCTTAGATTTCCTAATCAGAGTAATTTTAAAGGTACTTTTGAGAACTCGCAAAGACTTTAAAAGGCTTTTCATTTCAGCTCAGTTTAAACAAGAGTAAAACTGTACAAAAATGATCTCATAACCCCAAAGCTCAGCTATACTTAATGCAAGAGAAGTGCATGTTCAGTGTAATGGGTCAACACTACTCCAGGAGAGCTACGATGAAAAAGGCCACAGCACAAAACGCAAAGAGGATTTCACAGCCTGCTTAAGGGAATGTAGGCAAAGTCAGAAAGACAGTTAAATATGCATCCTGCATGCACTCCTGCAATGCAGCAGCTCCAACTGGAGGAACTTTTGGCCCAAGAAATTAGATCATACATTCAAAGTCTTGTATGAGGATGTTTATAGAAGCTATAGACTTAAAAACAATCACCAACATAGTTTATTTTTTATTTTTATTTTATGTGCATTGGCATTTTGTCTGTATGTACATAGTAGTGTCATGTGTGCAATGCCCTCAGAGGACAAAAAAGGTGTCATATCCTCTAGAACTGGAGGAAAGATGGTTATGAACTGCCACATGGGTGCTGGGAGTTGAAACCTGGTCCTCTGAGAGAGCAACCAGTGCTCTTAACCACTGAGCCATCTCTCCAGCCTCATTGATACAATTCTTAGGAAACTAGAATAGGCACATACTGGAATGCTACTCGGGAATAAAATAAGTAATAGCCGTTCAACACCTGCAATATTAGAAATGAAATTTAAAAGAATGCTGAAGGAATACAGACCGACCAACCCTCTCATGCAATGTGATCCCATTCATACAGATTTTGTGAGGAGGTAAACTAATCTATAATGATAAAAATCCAATTAGGGGATGTTTTTGGGGGAGGGAGCTTTCTGGAATTCTTTTTTGTTGTTGTTTTATTTGTTTTTTTGAAAATTTCATACAATATGCTTCAATCATACTCCTCCCTTCCAAATCCTCCCAGATCAATCCTCACTTCCTACCCTCAGGCTGATAATGTTACAAGACTAATCACAAGCTAATAAATAAAACATCCCAGTGCAAAGAAAAGGTTTCTTCTTTTGGATGTTGGCCAATGAGCTCCCACAGACACCCAGACATCATAGGCCCTTGCCACTGGTCGTTGTTACACTTCAGAACATGGCAATAAGACCCTACTGCTGGAGTTGTAGAACATGGAGACATCAAGCTGGTCCTGATCTAAAAGATTCATCCCTACTGGCTGGCTTCATAGTGCTTGAAAGTGCTGTGCATTCTACCAGAGGAAAAAACCATCCTCTTACCTGGCTGTGATCCCTGAGAGCTACAACAATGACTGGCCTTGCAAGACATGCTCACCAGTACAATTGTGTAATGAACATCATGGGAGTAACCAACCACTTTCTGGTGGATTTAAAGCTCACACTAAAGGATGAAGCCCATACCTGGTACCATTACTAGGTCAAGAACCTTGGGATAGATAGGTCATAGGCCTTTATCAAGAACCTACTACTAAGCCGGGCGGTGGTGGCGCACGCCTTTAATCCCAGCACTTGGGAGGCAGAGGCAGGCGGATCTCTGTGAGTTCAAAACCAGCCTGGTCTACAAGAGCTAGTTCCAGGACAGGCTCCAAAACCACAGAGAAACCCTGTCTCGAAAAACCAAAAAAAAAAAAAAAGAACCTACTACTAATATAATTATGAATGGACATAGTATTAATCAGATTCCTAATGGTTTATCCTTATATTCATAAATGAGTGCATCTCTCAACCCTCATAAAAGAAACATCTACTTGCAGTAGGTGAGACCCACAACTGCACAATGTATGGAGATTAAGATACTATGATCTGTTTCTTAATACTACCAAATATAAAATATCAAAATTTATAACTCAAAATGTACCCGTTTTACAGATTTTACTGTGTTTAAATTGTATGTCGCATTTTTTTCTTTTAAAGTAGGAATGCAACTTTTCTCAAATTTGAAATAATTTCTAGTGTATTTAAAACAAGAACTACAGAAACCCCTTTTTAAAGGTCTTGAAACTTGAAATTTTTTCAAACTTATAGGGTTATAACTTTTGAATTTTGATACTTACGTAGTAAATAATTATGAGAAGCAAATACTCTACTTAAACCATTTAGGGTCATGGTTCAGTGTTTAACACATTGCTCATTTCAGACAGGGCCAAAGATTATGTGGGGTTTAAGGACAAATGAGTTACAGTTACCTAAAAACATAGCTGATTGTTTTAATTGTGCTGACAAAAAAACACCTCTCTGTGTCACCTCTCGGTGTCACCCCTCTTCATTCTCCCTGTGTGTGCACATTTTCTAAGCCAGTTTTCATTAATATCAGAATCATGTAGAATTCTTGTTGAAACAGATGGTTGAGACCCACACTTCATTTCTGACCCAGTGAAGCTTGGCGGTGGGCAATCTTAAGTTTGCATGGTACATGTTCCCCAATGATGGCAATAATGTAGTTTGATCACACTTCAAAAACTTCTGCTTCAAACACTCTTGAATTCTCAGAATAAAGATCAATACTTAGGAGGAGGAGGCAGGAAGATCAGTGAGTTCAAGGTCATCTGAGTTACAAAGTAGGAGCCCATCTCAAAGTGTTGAATTTTTTTTTTTTAGTACTAGCATTCACTAACAACTGCAATTATCATTAAAAAGCAAGTACTTTTACTGGGTGGTGGTAGTGTGCGCCTTTAATCCCAGAACTCGGGAGGTAGAGGCAGAGGCAGAGGATCTCTGTGAGTTTGAGGCCAGCCTGGTCTACAAGAGCTAGTTCCAGGACAGCTAGGGCTGTTATACAGAGAAACCCTGTCTCGAAAAACAAAACAAAACAGTAAGTACTTTCAAGAATCAATCACCAAGCAAAGTAAGTCACTGGCTTAGTAGTAAGTAAAATAAGGAATATTTCTGATTATTTGAAAGGATACATACACATACACACATGTATATATACATACTACCCATATATCACTACACATGCATAAAGAGACATATATGTGTCACACATATTATATATAGTATATACACACATATATATATCACTACACATGCATAAAGAGACATATATATGCATCTGTATGTGAATGTATATATATGTATGTATGTATATATATCCTTTATATCTTTTATTCACTCATCTGTGCTCTCTGCATGATACTGCCCATTCTGTATGATATTGCCCATTTGGTATATGCTCCTACCCCTTGTGTTTGCTCCTTTGCTGATAAACATACATACATATGTTTTCTACTCAGATCCTAACTTTGTCAATGTCAGGGTCCTTGTACTAGGTGTCTATGTACTCTTCATAACTAGAACAATATAGCTAATAGGTGATAAGTAAATGCTAAGGGTCCAAAAGTTTGTACATTTTTCTGAGCATGTGTCAACCCTTTCAAAAGTAATGAAAAATAATTTCCATTATGGGGAATTACCTGTCATTGGGACAGTGACTTGGTAATGTCCAGTCGTGGTGTGGATTGATGAGGAAACCCCAGGACAGGAAGACTGAACTTGGTGTCAAAGTACCAACCACAAGCTGGAGAGGTTTTCGAGAGCGAGATTTCCCTGTGGAGGCAGCACAAGGTTAATTCCAGACACTGTATCTTTTTTTTTTTAACTTATTTTTTTATTGATTTTTTTGGGGGGAATTTCACATCATGCACCCCAATCTCAGTCCCTCCATATCTGTTCCTCACCCCCATAGCATCCCCCAAAAAGAAAAATTAAAAATAAATACTAATTTAAAACAAAACACACAATCCAATTCACTCCTCCATCTTTCCTGCCCCCCCCCCCAACCTCTTCATTCACCTTGGTGTCCCTGGGAGCTATGGTGAGGACACAGTACCTTTTGATCACTGTTTGAGTAAAATGCATGCACAAAGAAGACTTGGTTGGATGATATTCCTTTCCTTTTTGGTTTAGCTTTTATCACGTCAAGATATTTTTGAGTCATTTCTGGACTTTATGAGAGTGTTTTTAAAAATAATATAATTTTTATCAATTCTTTGAGAAGTTCATGGCTTTTCATATAGTCTACAAACAGATTTTTGACCATGAGTTTAAACATGAATCAAAGGAAATGCTTCACTGTTCTTGGGTGTGTATGTTTATATATGCATATATGTGTGTGTATGTACATGTTTATATGTATATGCATATATATAAGCCATGTGCAATCGTATCTAGCTTTATTTTCCTGTGAGTCCATCATTATGGAGGTATTGGATTTCATACACACACTTACATCTCTGTGTATATACACATTCGGTTTGTTTCATTTCTTCCATGGATAAATAAAAAATGTGCCGTTTAGTCCAGTGGGTCTCAACCTGGTGGGTCGTGAGCCTTTTGGGGGTCACATGTCAGGTATCCTGCCTCTCAGATATTTGCATTACAAATCATAACAGTAGCAAAATTGCAGCTATAAAGTACCAAAAGAATAAGTTTCTGGTTGGGGTCATCACGTCATGTGGAACTATATTAAAGGATTGCAACATTAGCAAGGTTGAGAACTATTATTTTAGACTGAATTAATACCCTCCAAAAAGAATGGAACATTCTTATGGAAGTTTTAGGCCATATTTTTAAAATCTAATCTTAAAGTGTAACCCCCCTTGCTATAACACGATAATAAGCATATGCTTACAGTAAGCCCACAGATGGAAGGCTGCACACATGTTATCTAACACTGCAAGGTGGGGGTCACACAGGAAGTGCAGTTGTTCTGATAGGACTCACGTATGTGAGAAATACCACAGGTTATGCTGATGAATGAATACAGAGTCTTTTTAAACTCACGGGAGTGAGGGTGTGGGTATAGGCACTTCAATTTCAAAAATTATTTGAAACTATAGAAATGAGAAGTCAGAAGAAAAACACATAGGCATCCTCATGAATATTAACCTTCATCAGGCAATGAAAGGAGACAAAGACAGAGACCCACATGGGAGCACCGGATAGAAATCTCAAGGTCCAAATCAGGAGCAGAAGGAGACGGAGCACGAGCAAGGAACTCAGGACCGCGAGGGGTGCACCCACACACTGGGACAATTGCAATGTTCTATCGGGAACTCACCAAGGCCAGCTGGCCTACCTCTGAAAAAGCATAGGATAAATCCGGACTCGCTGAACATAGCGGACAATGAGGAATACTGAGAACTCAAGAACAATCGCAGTGGGTTTTTGATCCTACTGCACGTACTGGCTTTGGGGGAGCCTAGGCAGTTTGGATGCTCACCTTAGGAGACCTGGATAGAGGTGGGCGGTCCTTGGGCTTCCCACAGGTCAGGGAACCCTGATTGCTCTTTGAGCAGATGAGGGAGGGGGACTTGATCGGGGGAGGGGGAGGGAAATGGGAAGCGGTTGCGGGGAGGAGGCAGAAATCCTTAATAAATAAATAAATAAATAAACAAACAAATAAATAAATAAATAAATGAATGAATGAAATGAGAAGTCAGGAAAAGGAAGGAGTTTGAATACAGGTTCAATCAGGGAAATAAAATTCAGATTTGAAAAGTAAGTCTAGTAAAACTGCCCCGTCACCCTCTTTACCCCATGAAACTGGGCATATTGTGTTGATTGTAGGAAGAACTTCTATATTCTCAGTCTAATGGGCTTGGAACAACATGTCACAGTGCCTGGGACCTTTATTAAAGTGTATAGGACAGGATCCCATAAGCAAGCGCAATGGTGATTATTTGAATCAAACGCTCTTGAAAACTGCCATATCTGTTTCTTTACGTTCTGTCAATTATGACTCCAGGAAGAAAGCCTCTGGATCCAGAAAGCACACAATGTATGAAATAAAAACATCTAAATCTAATACAGTTGACTTATTTATGGGGTGCCGTAGCTTTCAAAATTTGCATACACTGTGTAATGTTCAAAGCAGAGTAAATCTGTATCCTTAAACAACTGTCATTTCCTTATGATGAAGTATCAACACCTTCAACTTTAAAAAAATAAACAGAAATTTTTATTACATATGGCTGTATGACTTGAATGAGTGTCCCCATGCCGAAAGCTTGGTTTTTATATCACGCTGCTCCTGGGAGTTACTACAAGAAGTAAGCCATATGGGACAGGGTTAGATCTTTGGGGTCTGCTCTAAAAGGACTGGAGAATCCTAGTCTCTTTCCTTTTTTTTCGTTTTTGTGTGTGTGTGTGTGTTTCATTCTGAACATAAGGTGAGCATTAATGCCCTAAAGAATGGGATCCAGTGATTATGGAATCAAACTTCTACACTTGATCTCAGCCAAAAGGCTGAGAAGTGATGGAATGAAACTTCTAAAACTAAGGTTATCTTGGGTATTTGACACAGTAACAGAATACTAGAAACCTAATTAGAGAATTTGACCTCTTAAGGATGTCTAAAGTCATTTATGGATATTATAACAGCTGATGGCTGAAAACACTCATGTGCTCTCCTCTATAAACTTGTCAGAGGCATCTGTCATCGTGCCTTGCAGATGGTGATTTGAGTTGTCTACAGTTGACCTCCAAGGAGAAGAGATGAGAATCTTGACTGAAGGCAGGGGGCACACACAGCTTAGAAACAAACGTTGAGGTGATTATATTATTCTTCTCTTTCTGAGTTGACTTGTCGTGAATGTAATGCAACAGCATATTTTATAGATAAACAATAAAGATAAGAAAAGTCTCAAGGGTGTCCAAAGTCACATAGAATGCCAGGTAAAAAACTCATATTTGGGATATTGGTTTCCTTGATTATTTTCTAATTTCCTTTATAATGAATCCTTGGCTCTGCTCACAATATTTGAAGACATAAAATGCAGTTTAGATAAGAAAAAAATGTATATTTCATTCCCCAAGGGATCCTAAACTTGCATGATCAAATGATTATGTCACTAACTTGGTGGTTTTAATATGAAAAAGATTAGCTAATTATAATCTACGTGGCAGATGCGAATGTAGAACAAATGGAAGTGATTCAGCAGTCACTGCTTCTCTCCCAGATGCAGAATACCAAAACAAAAATGACATCCACTGCCTGAGAGCAAAGGTGGACTGTCACATGCTGAACAGGGTGACACAGCTTCCTGAGCTAGGAATAAGGAAGTGAGAAATAATTTCCAGGACTAGTGTCAGAAAACTTGAAATGAAATGAAGGTAGAAGTTAATACTTAAGCTACAAGAGCCTCAGTGGTCTAATTTTCTTTATAATTTTTATTTATATGATCAGGGTTTCATGTGATTAGCCAAATAAAATCAGATTCTAAGATATGACAGTCACATTTGACATTGTTCAAAATTTTAAAACATTGTTTTGAGATAACTCAGTCTTCCCCTTTGCTTCAAGATTCTTGATCATTCAATGCAAGGTCCAAATCAGGAGCAGAAGGAGACGGAGCACGAGCAAGGAACTCAGGACCACGAGGGGTGCACCCACACACTGAGACAATGGGGATGTTCTATCGGGAACTCACCAAGGCCAGCTGGCCTAGGTCTGAAAAAGCATGGGATAAATCCGGACTAGCTGAACATAGCGGACAATGAGGAATACTACTTGTAAAAGAAATAACGGAAGTCAAAGAAAAGGAGAGAAGGGTGATGGAAACTGAATTACGGTGACCAGCCCTGTGTTGCTACACTGGGAACAAATTCAGAGTAGCCAAGGCCCCTATGCTCTGTGCAGAAGTGTCAAATGCTGTTCCTCCCACCTGATCCCTCCAGATAAGCAGAACAAACACAGAGATGCTTCTCTGCATAACAGTGAGGGTTACTCAAAAGGCAAAAGTGGTTAGGGAATGATTGAGTGGAGGAGAGTTCACACTAGAGAAAGAAAGCAAAGCGAAACTCTGTGGTCGATACTGTCCACAGGAAGAAAGAGGCTCTGTTGGAGGACAAAATGTTGTCCTAAAATTAGACATGGCAAGCTTTAATCTTTTGTCTTTAGTTTTATTCCTGTGCTGTGGTTAGATACCTGAGCAAGAGCAATTTAAAGGAGGAAGGGTTCATTTTGGCTCACAATTTAAGTGTAATTCATTCATAGCAGAGAAGACAAGACAGCAGGAGCTTGAACGAGCTGGTGGGGTACACCCCCAGCCAAGAAGCAGAGACCAAAGGATTCATGCACTCAGCTAGTCTCTTCCTTTTATGTGGTCCAGGACCGGAGCTCAGGGAATCATACTGCCCACTGTTAGGCAGTTCCATCTCAATCAACCTAATTGACATAACCCCTCACAGGCACACCCAGATACCAAATAATCACTAAAGGTGTGTCAGGATGTTTTCAAGGTGATTTCAGCTCCTGTCAAGTTGGTAACACTATTACAGTCATGTTGAAGTTTTACATATGTATTTTATCCATTTTCTGTCTCCAGCCTTCCTGGTCTGAGAGTAGCCCAGAAGGGAAATACACAGAGTAAATAAAACCAAAGCTCCGATCTCTACAGTATATACACAAACGAGATATCCTTTTCAAACAAATGGTTTCCTTAAGCTAAGGTTAGACATAAAGCTTTGCCTTTAAAATCTGAAAGGCCAATAGTGGGCAAGAGGCCACCCTTTATAGAATAGAACTAGACAAAATGACACTTACCCTTCACAATAACCAAGGTGAAGAGAGCGTGTTAATTGTCTAAACCCCAGAGTAGGCAGTGACAAGAAGCAGCAATGCCTATTTATGCTGAGAGTAGTGTCTAGGACCAGGCTATGCTGCTCGTCCCACAGGGTAAGTTGCAGGCTCTGGACTGATACCATCTATACCCACATTGCTAAGCCATTCCCAAAGCATTTCATCTCGAGCATGCAGCGGAAGGTGAAATTACATGGTGCATAGGTAAGTACAAGAAAATCTAGAGCAAGGACTGTACCTGAACATGACTTCTTCTGACTGGGAGGAGGAGCGGGTCGCACGACTATCAGATACTTTGGCTCTGCATCTGAAACAACAACATTATCTTTCAGCAAAACCCTTTCCTTCATAACCAGCACAGCAGTTAGCACACCCATGTCCTGAATGAACATTTGCTGGTGTTAAACTCTCTCTGACCCCAGTACCACTGAAAGAGAAGACCCAAGAACTGGAAAACTAATACTCTCTAAAAAGCCCATTAAGTCTTAGAAATGAAAATTAGATCCATATTTTCAAACCCAAATGGCCTTGGGTGGGGATGAGGTCTTTAAGAACATGCTACACAGACTTTTCTTTTTTAAGTAAAATCACCTTATTCTCATTAACTCACAAATGAAAACATCACACAGTTCATTTAAGGAAACCACTCAAAATTCCTGCCCAGTTCCAAACCCTATGCATCTCAATGAATGTCTCTGCCATCAGAACGTCCATTCTGATGCTATGCGGCTTTGCTTAAGGCTTTTCCTTTCACTGCCCAGAACATCCTTATGCATTTATCCAGCACTAAAGATGAAAAGAAAAACCCTGCAGGTTGAAACTAGAAAATAAAAAGCTTTTTGTCATCTTTCATGACTCATGTGTCCTTTTGCCTGCATCCCTTCTTTCCACACATCTACCGTTACCCACTTGAAAGCCTTTCTCAATTTTATATTATATCCACAAGCTCATTTACACACCCCCACACACACCTGCATGTATATTTGCACCACATGCTTTTCTAGGGCCCTTGGAGGCCAAAAGAAGGCATCAGATTTCCTGGAACTGTAGTTATAAATGGTTGTGAGGTGCCACATGGGTGCTAAGAACCAAATCCCAGTCCTCTGCAAGAGCAGCAAATGCTCTTAACCTCTGAGTCATCATTCCAGCCAGATACAGTATACTTATTAATTATTTGAAATTTTCAAACAGGCATACAATTTATTTTAATAATATTTAGTCCCTACTTCTTCCCCTAATACCTTCTAGATTCAGCCCATGCCCATCCCCAATCTCATGTCTTTTAAATTCCACTGAATCCTATTTTGCAACTCTAGATGGGTAAGAATGGGGTTATCCACCAGAGCTTATCATTGAAATATCAGAGACAATCCTTAAAAATATTTAGGCCTTAAATTGTGCATGTAAAATTATGTTAAACTCTATTAGATACTATACTTGCTCTTCGCTAAAAGGCTGAGAATGAACGTTAAAGCTAAGAGGTGTGAGATTACCCAATAAAGATTGAGATGTCAGGAGCCATGAAGGGTACAGCAGGTGACAACTCATGTTCAGATGTCAACCCACCAGAAGAGTGATTATCTGAATGTGACTCTCGTGGCCTTTTAAAAAACTACTGTATCCAAGATGACTGATAAAAAATATATAAATAAACAAACAGCACCTAGGATGTTGGGCCAAAATTATCTCAGGGCCTGTACCTTGAGGCCTGTAGGACAGAGAAAAGCCTGGCTTGAGTTTGAAGGATAGTCTCAAAGCTACCTAGTGAGGATGAGACAGTGACATCTAGGTAGACTCCCCTCTAGCCAGAAAGAGGACTTGGTTGTCTCTCATTGGCTGGAGGTACCCCTGCATCTCATGATGTCACTTAACCTTTATAAGCTGACACTCGCAGTAATTAACTGAGTTCCTGCTTTGAATTGACTCCCTATCGCATCTGATTATTTTGTGTCATGGGGCTGCAGAAGGGGCAGATAGCGCACTGACCTTTCCCTGGGGAATAAGGCTAAAGAAGCCTGGCACTAGAACCTGAAAAGCAGCGTTCTAACAGCAGTTTTACTAGGCTGACTGTTGATTAGTTATTACCACAGTATTGCTTCAGAAACATTAAGACCTGAGACTTTTTATTCATCAAATTTGACTTAGTTGCTGCAGTCAACCAGAATTCAGCACTACTTGCTCAGGTAGACCTGAGCTATGGAAGAAGCTGTAAGAGGCCTTCTTACCCAAGGTTTTAAGGAGCTAACCTCATTTACATGGCTAGCATCTCCCCATTTGTTATAATCTGCCATATGAGTTACTAAGGTAAGCAACCCCAGCAGTCCCCGGAACTCACCTCAGGGCTGTGTCTGCTACATAGCTGTTTCCTGACCTGATGAACACACAGCCATAAGACCTCATGATCACAGATAAGGTGTATTCAAGCCTTCCCAGAGCCCCATGGGCTTGAAAGTATATATTGCTTATTTGAAACTCCCTTACCAAGTGCTCAATCCAAATTCAATAACAAGACTACAATCACCATTGGGTGAGATTATTATTGTAGAATAATTTAGGTGTCAATAAACTACCATGTAAAAAAACTGTTTCTGTGTGAAAAAAACTGTTAATAAATTTATAAACTATTGACACGGTGATTCTGCACATCCTCTGCAATCACCTTGTGTAATAGTGAGATCACTGAGACACGGTCAGCTTCACAGGGGTGCAACATTTACAGTTGCACCCAGATGGTTTAGGCCCTACCACCATCCAGAAATTCTTTTTATTTTTTTTTAACTTCTTTTGTGTGTGTGTGTGTGTGTTTGGGTGGGTGCATACGCATGTCTGTGAAGTTCAAAGGACACCTCGTGGAAGGCATTTTCTCTCCACCATCTGGGTCCCAAGGATCCAACTCAGGTCATAGGGCTTAGGGAAAATCACATTAACCTTCTAAGTCATCGTGCCAAACTCCTAAAAATTTTAATACTTTGATCTTTGAACTGAACTTTGTAATACTATGTCTTGTGGGATGCTGGAGTATGCACGGGAGCAACGGAGCCAGAAATACTAACACTTGTCTATGGATTTTCACTTCCCTCTTCGCATAAAGCATCCCTAGTGCAGCAAACTCCAGGTTCCCTGAGACTCTGTCTCAGAGACTAAGGGGGTAAAGTAGTAGAAGATGCTGGTGGTAGAGTTCTGGCTTCCACAGGAACATGAGCAGGCCAGCATGTACCACACACATGCTAGATGAGGATAAGCAAATCTTGCCTCTGACTAAGAAAGAGGATATAAAGGGAGCTACTGGCAGCCCCAATGTGACACATTGTTCACTCAAGCCAGAGCTTGTTTCACTGGCAAATAAGGTGGTGTTTAATGAAACCCAAACCAGCAAAGAACCTCTTTATGCCCATTTTTGCTGTGTTAGCAAACATGGAAGAAAAGGGAAAGACTGGACAATTCCACTCCCCTTCAGTTCTCCCTCATTCATAAGTTAAAATGAACACCCATGGAATATGCAGGCCTGTATCGAAGGTGCATAAAAGTTGAGACATTTTGTGCAGCCTTCCCACAGTTCTGCTTAGAAAATCCCATGCATGCAGGAACTACAAAACACTGCGCACTCCCAGCCCTGCTGTTGAGACTCAAAGGTTCTCGAATTCACTTTGAAATGGGCCTTGTGCACTATCATGGTCAAAGCTCCATGCCATGTAATTTATAGTTTTTATTCTTAAAATTACATTATCAGCTGGGCGGTGGTGGCACACACCTTTAATCCCAGCACTCGGGAGGCAGAGGCAGGCGGATCTCTATGAGTTCGAGGCCAGACTGGTCTACAAGAGCTTGCTCCAGGACAGGCACTTGCAATAGGAAATCCTACAGCCAATAGTTACCCACCCACTGGGGCGTGGCCTCTTATACTATTTATGCCGATGTAGAGCATTGTCTCGTCTCTTTTCCAGCTGCAGGATTCGGTTTCTGATCTCCATTCCAGCAGAGAATTCTGATTTGTGAGTCTACCCTTAAATTTACAAATAACCGTTTATTTCTCAATTCTGAGCTAGTGTGGGATTTCTTTTAAGCATCTTTCTTCAGGCACTAAAGCTACACAGAGAAACCCTGTCTTGAAAACAAACAAACAAACAAAAAACACATGACAAAAGTCGAGATAGAGACTGTGGGTGGAGGAGGTTTACCTCTAATGATATAATCAATCTTGCTTTTTGAAACAAAGGCCCTCAATATTAGTTTTGTATGTGACCCTACAATTATATAAATATCTTAATTTAGTCTTCAAAATGTCTCTTTAATAAGTCTCAACAATGCCCTTCTAGAAAACAAAGATCAGGCATGAGCTTTACTCAATTTAGAACTAATGTTTAATTACTTCCTTAAGACAGGCATTTAATGGGCTAGTGGCTTTTTGACAAGGACTTGAAATATTAGAGCAATACAGATGCCAAAGACAATGCCCAAGATCTAACATGGTCATAGGAACCATTTAAAAATCAGTTTTGGTTATGTTCACAGTCATTTTGCATAAGCTGTGGCAGAACAGAAGAGGAGCACTGGGTGTGGATGTATTCGCACTAACTGCTCTGTAAATACTCCCACCTTGCAGTGTTTCAGCAGTGTCTATGCTCTGTTGGTGATACAGACATGGGAAGATGGAGCAACTAAAGTCAAGATTTTGATTCCATTCTGTATTGTAGATTTGTAGCAGACTACAAATTCATACATTGGAGTCTTAGCAGACATTCTACCAAAATTATTTCATTATTTAGGGAATATATGCAATTAAAATCTCCACGCAAGATAATTTATATAGGATGTAATCCCTTTAAATTTGTAATTCTGTTAGTTAATCCCCAGTTTAACTTAATTTGCTTAAGATTGCAAATGCCCTAGGATAATGGATAAGAGAACTTATTGTTTAATGAAATCTAACATTGAAGACATGTATCAACGTATATTGTATTTTTAGTGAAGGTTATAATCCTACCATAATTGCCCAATTTAAATTCTATCTTTCAAATCTTAGATCTAATAGAGGACTCCAGTCTCTCAAGGGGCACTGCTCAGCTTGTTGCCACAGTCGCATGGGTTTCTGTTATGCAAAGTCTCTACCATGCATATGTCTGCACAAACATTAGGCAAGCCAAGGTTACCTTAGAAAACACCATGTCAGGAGCTTAAACACATTCATTCATCTCCCATCTCTTCCTGCCCTTCTTCCTCCTTCTTCCTTTCCCTCTCTCCTCCCCTGTAGCATGAATTCTAACAGGTCTTAATAATAAAAGCCTGGAGTCAGATATGGGGGAAAAT